TTAGAAAAAAAGCTCACTAGGTGCAATTTATTATTTTAGCCCGATTTCATTTGTCTCTGTTATAAATGGGCTACCCAAGTATAATAATCATTTTTATGTCTTCCATTGGTTAAGTAGAGAGTTTAAGAACGAATCTCTAATATCGTGAATGTGTTGCGCAATCAGCAAGCTCAATTTTATTTCAGTATTCTACATAGAATTGTCAATCCTACATTTTATCAGTTGGCGGTGTAAACATCGGCTGATAAGTCTCATCCACTGCCCCTTACAACAATGGAGTTTTTGAACATTTGAAGAATCTGACACCAGATTATTTTAAATTTTTTAATACCTTACATTAACTTTATATATTGAATCAGTTATATGTACAATGTATTAGTATATAAAATTTCATTCATATATATACATCATTGTCGCACAAAATTTGTTTGAGTATGCACAAAGCATGTTGTCCAGCAACTAAGCCTAGCAGAAGTAATAGATGCGATCTAAAAAACGTCAAAAATGACGGCATATACTTTTAGATTTTAGTTAAAAAATTAATAAAAAGACACGTATTCATATGTACGATTAATCTATATAAAAGCCTTTGTATGCATATTTAAATATTTTTAGTCGCTATCCTTAACTGCGTTTTTACGTTTTTTTCGCTCTGCCTTCCATCTGTTTTGTACACATTGTTGCTAGTTTAATACTTTTTTACAAACACTCACATGTTTGCATTATTTTTATTATTGTTTTTTTTTTTGCCACCAAGTCTTGCATTACAACCAACGTACAGGGTTGCTATACACATTTGTGTGCATGCGTGTGTTATATGAAACTTGGAATGTTTGATGATTTGTGTTACATCAACTATGCGCTCACATTTTCGGCTACCCGTATGCGCCTGTCAAATTAACAATGCACAAACGCATACTAGTTAATGTTGGGAAAGGCATATGTACATATGTACATGTGTATGTGTATATGAGCACAAATATATTTGTGTGTACATGGTTATATGGCATGCCACAAGCAAATAAAGTCAATCGGCGCATTCGACCCACAAATAAAGCGAACAATTGTGTTAGTGTTTGCTTTTGCTTATTTTGCTTTGCACAGTGTTTCTGCAGTATGGTTTTACAAATAATTTCATATAAAAATACTTTGATTTTACTTACTTACTCACTTAAAAATATACTTAGTATACAAAAAGCTTTACAAACAGTATGAACAATTATAAAACCGAAAGTCTTAAAAATTAATTGTTGTTTACATACATGTACATATATTGGTGTAAAAGGTTTACATTGTAAATGGAAAATATTAATATTGCAAAATAATAAAAGAACTAAATTAGATAAAGTTAAAATAAATATTTTCTTGTACTCCTGTATTTAATTATATAGTTTTCAACTTAGCTTTGTTTACTCACTTAAAATCTACTTAGCTAACAAAAATCTTACAATGTATAGCTTATTAAAATATTAACATACTTAAGCTTATTGATATATTCCACTTCTGAATTCATTAAAATGTTGCGTAATATCAAACACTTTTTAAAAAAGACTTCACACTTTTGAATTTAATATTTAATTAAGACACTCTTTTCATTTCTGGTACTGCGTAAGCCTATTTTTTATTATAAATATATTTTTTTGAAGGTTTCAAATATCCATTATCCTAGGACACCATTGCACTATTTTGTTATTATCAATACACTGTGCTCATCATATTAGTTGACATACATTTAGGCGCATCACCACAGTATCACTACTGAGGAACCATTTCTGGCTCCTAACTTTGTGCATGTATATATGTACTCATATATATATACAAGTATATACATATATATTTAAGGGTTGTACACAAGCCTACATACGTATGTATATGTATACATAAACGTAGTACATACTGACCACTGCAAATTAGTTTTTGGTTCACTACAACGTGCCACATACTATTGCCAACACAAAAACTTTCAAAATAAAATGAAGTTCACTAAAAAACCAATGAAAGTGAATAATATGCGCGACTTCAGTGGGGATCATACAAGCGTATGAACAATTATTTTCACATACATACGTTTTTTTGCTTTTTATGCTAGTGCCATTTTATCACAACTCTCTCCCTCTCCAGCACACTTACATACTACCTTTGTTTAGTTCGTTGTTTTCACCATTTTCCGCTGATCGCAAAATGTTTGCATTTTAATTGTTACTTATTTGATTTTATTCTGCTCACGGGTCATGCATTAGCTTTCTATATTGTCTACATTTAGGCGCAATATGCTGAAATGGAACTTTTTTTTTAATTATTACAAATATGCAACCGTTATAGCTGCATACATTGTATACATGCATTTAAAATAGAATATTAGTTACATTTCTATACATATAAGGTATAAATAAGTGAAAGAAAATGAGAAACCAAAAATGCCTACATCCAAATAAGGGAGCGTTAACACTACACCGAACTTCAATCATCAACGAACTAAATTTTACATCCAAATCGAAATTGTTTAGATATTTTTATTTTACAGCACAAGCCCTTCTTTTAAACCCTTTTACCTTAACAAAGTGAACTCTCTAGCTCCAATAGCGTGCAATTTTCCCAATTAAATTGCATTTACGTGCATATTCTTCTCATTTATGCACTTTGTTGGCATTTTAGCTATTTTTTTATTACCTTCATTTCGGTGAACTTAATAATTGACACATATGTACATACATATGCATATAACTGTGAAATGAACCAATCGGACAAATATTCAAAATTTGCCCACCGGCAATTAGAAAAATGAACTTTCTATCATTTTTTAATATTGGTCTGGTTCTCCGAATTTTAGTGCACAATACTAGTCAATCTGTTATATCGGCTGCCGAATATAGTTGTAGAGAATCTTAGTTTAGGTAGACGTGGTTGATGTGATTATTCACGATATTGAGCTAACATTTTCGCTTCACTGTATATTCACATCTATTAGATCGCATATTTCGCGTTGTATCATTTCGCAATAGCAATTTTGCCACGATTTGCTCCAGACTACAATGTAAGTGTTTTTATGTACGTAAGAATATTAAAAGCAGTTTGTATGTACCTATCGGAGAAAGGTATCCTTGAGCATGCTTGCCTATGAAGTTCGTCTGCCTTATAGTTTCTCTCTATGTGTCTGGGGTCAGGTAAATAAGTGAGAGATTATCCCTTCCATTTGAATATAAATTGTAGAGATCGGCGACAGTCTAGCCTTTTAAGCGCTACTTGAAAGTCACTAAAAATAATCTTTTTGTTGCAGAATAGCTGTAACTTCGGCTTGAAAGATACGGGCGGGTAGTCAAAGAGCATATCCCCACAAACTCTCTTTTCAAGCTTCAAATTATTCATATACAATTTTAATGCTATTTGCTAAAGTGTCGAAACCATCATTTCATTTCTCTTTTTGGGAGGTTTGCGTTCCAAAGTTATGTCCGTTTATTTCCAGATTTAAACAGTAGAAGTCTCTGCTGCTTGGTATTGAGATATTCGACTCAGGCTTATATCTGAAATGACCGTTGCCAACTATTTTAAGGTTTTAAAAGAAAATATGATATGAAAATGAAGATATATTAAAAAATATCGGCACAAGACAAAGACGGCAAAAAATGAAGACTACATTACAAAAATCATAATTCTAAATTATTACTTCTTATGCTCCTCTATCTTCATTCCTTATTTCCTTTAATGGATTTCGGTTTTTAGATACTTATAATTCAGTTCCTTTTAATCGAATCGATTTTTTCATTAACTTTATCTGTTTAATTGTGGTAGATAAAGTTAGCAAACCGCATTCTAAAGAAATGTAAAAAAAATCATCTTGGCTTTCTATTAAATCAATTTCTAACCCTTGCATCACATCTTCCTTTCGTTACAAAAAAAGTAGCCATGAAGCATTGGAAGAATGGGCAAATGGTAAAGGGTTGCATAAAGAGCTTTACGAACGCACACCTTCCACACTCTGTGTCTTTCCAATCAGGCAAGAGAAGAAATCTAAGAAACTTTGTTTTTGCTGACCTCCAGTATTTCAATAAACTCTATGTATAATATCACTCCATTGCAGCCCAAAGGGACGAATATACAAAATACATATGTATGTATGTATGTACGACTATGTATGAATGTTTATGTATGTGAAGTAGAATTTGAAATGTTTCTTGGTATTACAGTCCTACTGGCAAATACGGTATTTCATATCTACTCCACTCACTTATACATATTCATATTCATGTGTGTCCTTTATATCGCCTTAAGTCCCATTTTTGTTGAAAAATGCACAGAAAAGTTTTTGTGGTTCTTCTATTCATTTCTTAGATGATATGCCAACAATACTGCAAAGACTATGGTGGCGCTCACTCACTACACTACACTAAAATGCTAAGCTAAAGCAATGTCTGTTTTTAGTCATAAAACTTTATGAGCAACTCAAGGGTTGTAGTGGAAGCAGACGACTAATGAAGATTACTTAACCCACAGTAGTAGAGGACGTTGGCATTTGGTTGAAGGGGACATCCTTGATTGGTTGTCGCTCAAACGAAGCGGTCATTGAGATGTGTCTGTACCCAAGAAGTTTTCCCTTTCAAATAATTTCAATAGTGAATCAAAGTAAAATTTTGTGACTTTCTCTTTTTGGATACATACTTGAGATGGTGAGGTTTGTAGCGGGCAAGAAGTTGAGGGTAAGCGAAATCAAATCGTCCAAAAATTTTACCACGGAATAGTTGGCATAAAGCAGTGAGCTTAGTATGCCCAATAGCTTTTGATACCCAATGAATTCGGCACTAACTTTACAAACGAAAACACAAAATAATAACATTTATCAAGTACCAACTCGGTTGCTCGGTTGCAAAAGTTTTGTTTCTCTTGAGATTTTTGTGCGCACAAAGTAGACGTTGTTTGGCTCACGAAATTTTTCCTACGCTCTACCCTCATTTTCTTTACTATTCCACATTAAACATTCTCCAATTCTTTTCTTTTACTTTCAGGAAACCATCCCAGTTGCAGCAACCACAACTACCACAGACAGCGCAACTGGTAATGGTGGCAGTGCTGTTAGTGGCGGTGTTGTGGGCATTGGCGGCACCGCAGCGGGTTCGGTGGGTGGAAACGTTGGTGGCGGTGATAATAACACCGAATCGGACCCCTATGCTGGTTTAATGAAAGACGCAGACAAATTGAAACTGATGTTGTTAGCCTGGAATTACCAAAATTCGAATGCCGTACGCAATGGCACTGAGGGACCCGATTTGGGTGTAGTCGGTGGCTTGTGGGCACAATACCAAAATGCTTTGGCACAAAGTGCGGCAAATAACAAAATGGATATATCGTTGTCGCCAGTGCCGCGTACGGATGCCACATCGCCGATGGAGGCGCAGGATGAGACAAATTCTTCGGGGCAAAAGGAGGAGGATGAGGGTTCGGAGGATGATTCGGATGATAAACTGGATGAAAAATTGGCAACACATGATCCCGAACGACTGAAGGCGTTCAATGTAAGTAACAATTATGCATACGTATGTGTCGCAGTAAGGGGAAACGCTCGCTAATACACTTTTATGCATTTCAGATGTTTGTGCGTTTGTTCGTTGATGAAAATCTTGATCGGATTGTGCCCATTTCAAAGCAGCCAAAAGAGAAAATTCAAGCAATCATTGATTCGTGTGCACGACAGTTTCCTGAATTTAGTGACCGCTCTCGAAAACGCATACGCACGTATCTGAAGTCATGCCGGCGGAATAAGAAAACACGCGAAGGCTGGGATAATACGGTAAACAAAACACTCAAACCCATTGAATATCCTCTCTTTTATTTTTGGAATCATACTTTGTAACTAATGGTTTTCTCAAATTTCTCACAGACCCGTCCAACACCCGCTCACTTGACATCCGTGCAGGCGGAGCAGATACTGTCGATTGCTTGCGAAAACGAGTCATTGAATTGCAAACGTTTACGTGTTGGTATGGAGCCCTATACGCATGCCATACCGGCGCCGGGTTCAGCTGTCGCCGCCGCAGCAGCAGCAGCGGCAGCAGCAGCCGCGGCCGCTGTGGCCGCCACCAGTTCAACAGCTTCGATAGGCGGTATAGGCAATTCAACTATTACTTCGGTTTCGGCTGGCGATGCTCTATCTACCGTCACAACGTCTACACTGCCGTTTGTTGGCGCTGGCGGTGGCGGTTTTGCACGTTCCACACCAAATTCAGATGGCGGCGAGCCGCTATCATTGACACCAGCCGCTGCAGTAGCTGCTGCTGCGGCTGCAGCTGTGGCTGCATCGACGGCCTGTGTGGGTGGTGGTAGCGGAGGTATTAATTCAGCGCGCAGCTCGCCGCTAGCATTGAGTTCGAATACGAGTGTGAGTGGCAGTACCAGCGGTTTGGATATAAAACCACTAACAGCTGCTCTGTCGAACGGTAATACACCAACCAATGGTACAGTTAGCGGGCTGGCAGGCTTACCTGCAACAAGTCCACTTTATCGACCATCGGATTTCACTTCACCGTCAGCGGCATCACCATTTGTAGCTGCTGCTGCTGCGGCAGTAGCTGCTGGTCGCACACCCACCTATCCCGGCTATTTTCCAGGCGTAGCAGGATTAGGTAATGGTAAGTACTTAACTCTCTCTTTTTCGTATTCAAACAATTGCAAATAATGATTAATAACTTCTATGCACAGTTGTACCCACAGATCTCTCTATGAAACCATCGTCCACTAGCACATGTGCCACACTCACTACTGTTCCCACCACCGTCAACACAAACAATAATATCGGCGTAATGGGTGTGGGCGCACCGAATCTCACCAGTCTTGTCGCTGCCGGCGGACTCTCTATTAATAATAATAATGCGCTCGTCACCGCCACACAACAGCTACAGCAACTGCAACAACAACAGCAACAGCAACAGCAGCAGCAACAACAACAGCAGCAACAGCAACATCAGCAGCAGCAGCAACAACAACAACAGCAAGCCATTATGGCAACAGGACTAAATACCAATCAACTCGGCGGTGGAGGCTCATTGAGTGATCCGAATATGGTTGCTGCTGCAGCAGTGCGCCCACCGCCACTTTTGACGCACAAACTGAATGCCAACGAAATAACAGCAGCACGTCAAGTGATCTCGGCGTATCGGGAAAGCGCAGCTTTTCTTTTACGCACTGCCGATCAAGTTGAGCAGCTGCTGGTGCAACAACAATAGATGGTTGAAGTGTTGTGCGATGGTGAATTTTTTGATGTGTTGAAAATTTTTAGTGCGTAAAGTAAAGTTTATTGGAGTTTCAGTTGAGTAATAGAAGAGAAAAAAAAGAAAACATATTTTATTTAAATACAATTTAGTTAGAGTAGTCAAAATTGCTTTTGGTGATTTTGTTCAGTGTATAGGAATCTTTTATTCATTTGTATAATAACGTAGCCGAGCAATGCATTTTATTTTTTCATTTTTAAAACACATTAATCATATACAAGCGGCAACAATTTCTATAGCAAACGTAAACTCACCATAGATCAAATTAAGAGTATGTGGGTTGTTCCTATTTTACTAAAGAAAAGTCACTTAAAAAAATAGACGTAAATAGAAACACACAAAAAGAAATAGTCAAGTCATATAACTAAAATGCATAAAGTATAAAAATAAATAATAGACAAAGCCAAATGTTTGAAAGTAAAAATATGTAATAAATAGATGTTCTATATATTTGCATTAATTTTCTTGAACTACAATAGCAGCCAAAAATAGTATAAACTGGATATGTGTAAGTAAATGAGAATAATTTCAAGAAGTACGAGCCTTCGTAATAATATGACGACAGCGACACTTAGCGGCGCAGTTTGTCAAAGTTAATTCCTGTGAACCCAATGGGTTCGGATGTACTATTGTTCCCTATAAATATATCAGAAAAAAGCGCTTTCAATTCTATATTTGTTTTACTTAAATATGCTATTTAATTAATAAACTCACCTCAAAATTATTGTAAAAAAATCTTACGAAACTTTTAATTGAAAAATTTTATAAATATGCCATGAAAGAACTATCTCTACCTAAATAGTTGGGTAGTTCGTACTCAAAAAAAAAAAAAAAATAGACAAATAAATTCCAAAACAAAAATCAATCCAACAAAAAATGTTTACACAAGCAAGTCTAACCAAATTTAATCCAGAAGTAAAACGTTTTACTGGCTACACAAATAAAGCCGTATTTAAATGCAATCTGGGAAGCGAATTAATTTATTTTATGCATTTGATTCACATTTAATTACACAAATCCAGCGACAGGTATTAATATAAAATATGTATGTATTTACATTTAATAGTCATCCATGAAATCCAAAAAACCCTATACAATAGCAACATAAATAAATACTAAATTTAAATAGCGAAACTGCAGAAACAAAAAGCCAGAAAATGTGCGCGAAAAAAAGTTCATTACAATATACCAAACTTTTTATTTTATGCTCATTAGATTTTGATTTACTGGAGAACAGCAGAACCTTTTTATATTCAGAAAAATATATTTTAATCATATTATCATGCCAAAACAGGGTTGCAATTATTAGAAGCTAGAAAATAAAAAACTTTTTCATATTTTTATTTCAGACGTTGCTCTGTCATGAATCGCGGAGCTGCAGTGTTTAAAAATTTCAAACTAAAATTTCATTTTTCGAAACATATTTATTTAAAACAAAAAACAGCCAAAATTGCGCAAATACTATGCAAAAATTTATACAGGGTGATACTAAGAAAAAATATTATTAGTAGAAAAACTTAAAGAAAAAATTGAAAGATATTAAATTGCTTGAAAAATAAAAATTATTTTATTAGCAGTTAAAAGAAGTCGAAGCTCATTACAGCGCTTTTTAGTTTTTAAAACATTTTTCTACCTAAATTCAATTTATAGAATTTAATATTTAATTTATTTTTAAATTAAATTCCTAGCGTTTGTATTAATTGTTGCAGTTGAAAGTTGCCGACATAAAAATAATATGTTTATTTAAACTTTTATATTTTTAGTTCATTATTTATTTATTTTTATGTTTTTAATTACTCACTTGTTTATTTATTCATTTTTTTATTTATTTATTTACTTATTTGTTTATTTACTTGTTTATAATTTTATTTTTTTTTAAATTCTTTTGTTAATATTAATTTATTTCGGTTATTTTTTTTTTCTTTATTTTATTTTTTTTTTTTTGATTATTTAATCATTGGTTTTTATTCGATTTAAATGTCTAATTATTTGATTTTTTTTATTTATTAAGTAAAATTATTTTATTTATTCATATAATTCTTTGTATTGCATGTTACTTTGCTTAACGGTGTGTTAATTATTTTTACTAAATCGTTAAAATTATGTACTATCCCACTTATGATATTAATGTTTTTAAAATATATTTTTTTATTATATAAACCATTAACTAATTTAAGTATTATATGTTATTATTATTTAAAAGTGTTATCTTTTTTTTAATAAATCGTCAACATTATTATTATTCCACTTTTGACTTTAATGTTTTGTAATTATTGTTTTTACTTTTTTATATAATTTTAAAACTAATCTACGTGTTTTTCTTTTCTAGTAAACGTAAACATTATACTTTATTCCACTTCTGATTTGAATGCTTTGAATTTTTGTTATTATTACTGTTTTCTTGTTAGGGAAGAAAAAATTAATACTTTTTCTGATAAAGGCTATAAAAAGAAAAGGTTTTTTTAACACGTCATGTTTTGGTTTCTTCTAGTTGTTTTAGTTTTTTAAGTGAACTTTTTTAATTAATTTCCCACATTCAATTCTTTTTAAATACACACTTCAATGTTATTATTTTCTAATACTAGCCTTGTAGTTGTAAAAAATATTTTCAATAGCAATTGTTTTTCATTTTTACTGTACAATATTTATAATGTTAAGCTGTTAAATTATTTATATGCTTATTAAAAAAACATACATTTTACACTCAATAGAAACAGTGTACTAGTTATAGAATTGAAAAAAAAAGTAAAAATAATCTAAATTTACTATAAATGTGTATTGTAAAAAGACGAATATAATTAATAAATCAATATGAAAACAAATTCAAGTTTGATGAAAAATACACAAAAACGTATAGAATTTATTTAAATTTACTATTTGAGAATGATTATAATTAATAGAATATAATATATTAAAATAAATAAAAACAATCTGCAAAACAGAGTCATTCATTAAGGTAAACTAATCAAAACGATATTGAAAATATGAAAAAGAAATAGACAGAAAACTTAATTTAAATTTACTAAAATTAAGAAAATTTTCAATAAAACCACAACAGCGATGAAATCAATAGAAAAACGTGTGAATTAAGTAATTGAAAATGCATTTAATTCATTCAAGGGTGGTGGAAATTTGAATTAAAAATTTAAATAAAAACATAAAAATAATTCCCACTGTAATTGCTGTGGCAAAGAAATGGAAAAATAAACGAAGAATTATTATTACCATTACTTATAATATAAAATAAAAATAAATTAATATTAAAACCTATTAAAACCCTAAGTAATGTTAAATAAAAGATTTATGACAATTTTAAACGTCGATTTAATAAAGAATTTATGAAAAATTAAATGTACATTTTTAAATTGTAGTTTTTATTTGCATTTATACATGGTTGACCTTGATGAACTGCGTTGTGTAAGTACCCTGCACGGAGAAAGTAGACTTCTACTTCTTCTTTGGCATGGGTACCGAATAAGCGATTAAACTCGATTAAAATCCAACCCAGATCCCTCTCTACCTGATCCTTTCAACGGAGTGGAGGTCTTTCTCTTCCTCTGCTTCCACCAACGAGTACTGTATCGAAAATTTTCAAAGGTGAAACATTTTTTTCATTCGGATGACATGACCTGGCCAGCGTAGATACTGTATTTTCAATTGTAACTCGTACAGCTCATCGTAACATCGTCTGTGGCAATCGCCGAAGCCAGAGCACAAAGGCCGATGATATCAATGTTATCAGGCCAGCAGATCATCACTTGCCTATTAAGTTAGCGCTGCAAATCTCATTTTTTTCTCCTACATCAGTTAAAGATAGTACGTAGACTAGTACTCAAAACACTAATATTTTGATAATGAAATCATACCAGTTTGTGCTTTGTATAGGAGTTTACCGGTAACGGGATTACTGAGTACGGCTGAGTTTTTTTCTCACCTACGTTCTGTTGAAGTGGTTACAACGATCTTCGCTTCATCGTCACGGTAGCCGAGTGGTTAGAGTTAATGCTGTAGCGCGTGTGATTCACGATGCGGATCTCGCAGCGAGGAAACTAATTTTTATTAAATTTTTTATATTATTTATTTTTGTTTTGGTGAAGTGAAAATTCAACATATAATATTTAATTGAACTAGTATACAACTTGTATAAAACTGATGCATAGTCGGACAGTCGACAGCTCGTAGGATATAGCCATGCTAAAATTGCATGGGAAATAAATGAAAAATGTACTAATTAAAGCAAAAAATGCAAACTGGTAGGGTTCTAGTTAACAACTAGTATTTTTCGGTGAACGGTACTACGAAAATTATTGTTTTTTCTTAATTTGATTATTTACTATGTTCCCATAATGATTATATATTTTTTTATATAATTGGCGCTTTGTAACCGCTGAAGCGATTTTCGGCCGAGCTCCTCCTCTAATTTATGGTTTTGCGTCTTGATGTTTTTCCAACAAATGGAGGGACCTACAGTTTATATTAAGCCGCTTCCGAACGGTTGATGGTTTTTTTTTATGATGAGCCTTAATTTCATATCCGAAAGATATTCAGAAGGGTGGACATTGCTTGCCTTGGGGCGACCGCGAATAGAAAATTTAACCTACTTTTTTATTTAAATTAATTTTCCATAACTTTTGGATGTTGGTGGCACCGGGATTTGAACCCGAACCTTCCGAATGTCAATACGCAATGCTAACCACCTCTTCCCGGTGTGAAAAATAGATATTGTAAGACCTAGAATTTCATTAAAATCGGTCAAGCCACTTCGGAGGAGTATCTGTCTAACAAACTAAAATTACGTCTCTATATCCTTTTTCCTAAATTACGTCTCTATATCCTTTTTGCCCAAAACAGGAGCCACTTTTTTCTGGGAAGTGTACAAGGGAATAATTTATGCTGGATTGCTGGATTTACTTGAAACTGATACACAGCTACCTTTTTGCCTAAATTGAGATAAGTCTTACTTTTTTCCGATAAGGGGATCTGGGAGCGATCTACCCTAAAAAATTCTATTTTTGAATCGATTTATTTGAAATTTGGACTGTGAATATCTTTCTGCCTAAATTAAAATAAAAACTTCTTCTTCCGGGAAGTAGAAGAGTAAAACGGTTTTCCAAAAAAAATTTTTATTTATTTATAAGTTTACTTAAAATTTTGTACACGGGTTCCGGTTCGCTTAATTAAAATAAACACTACTTTTTCTTCAGGGAAGTGGATCTCGGGCGGATCAATCCTAAAAATCTGTTTTGTAGTTCGACTTGTTTGAAATTGGGTGTGATTTTGTAGCTTATCACGAATTTAACATGGAAGCTAACCAGAGATCGAGAAATTCAGAAGGAAATATTCTATTTGTGGTTTGACGTGATGAGAAATTCGGTTCATAGTCAGCTCTAAGCTTTCATTACATAATTGTAGATATTTTATATGTAATATGGAATTTGTGGTTAGGTAAATAATTATAATAGTTATTGTTTTTAAAATCATTTAATGCTTTTGGAAGTTTCAAATTCTTGCCTTTGTAATAAACATAAACAAAGTACAAGGGCAATCATTAAGCTTTGCGCTTTTTGTTTTGATAAATTCGTGTTTATCACATAGCCAATATTACGTCTCCTATTATTTATTTGTTTATTTATTTATATATTTCTTTGTTTATTTATGTAGCAGATGGCTTTCAGATAAATTCGAAGAAAAATTTTTTTTCCCAGGAAG